TGTCTCCGCCAGTGTGGCCAGCACCCCGTGGCCTGGCTCCGTGATCCTTTTGGACTCTCAGTCCATCCCCTGCACTCCAGGCAGCCCCACTGCCCCCCCCCCCGCCCCGTGCCCCCAGGAGCTCCAGGACTCAGCCTCCACCCAGCCGGTCCCCTCCCCTCCCCGACCTTCCCTGGTTGATGGCCCCTTTTCCCCAGCCCCAGCTCTGGCCAGTACCACGCCTCGCTTGCCTCATCCCCTGCTCTCCACCTCCCCCCCCCCTTCCTCCTCTTCTTTCCCTCCGGCTCCCTCTCCCCTCTCTGCCTTCCCTCTTCTGCCCCTCCCCGCTGGCCTCTGCCAGCCATCTCCGCCCCCACGGTGACCTTCCAGGACCTTCTGTGACTCAGGGTCTCAGTTTCCCCTGGACAGAGCAGGATAAGGCCCAGATAGCATCAGGCCTCTGGTGCATTTTGGGGCAGAGTGTGTGTGGGGGGGAGCCTGTTGTCCTGACATCAGAGTAAAGAAGCAAGAAGAACAAAGAGCTGAAAATAGCACCTTTATGTAAGAGCCTTCCCGTGGTGATGAGGGGCTGAGGTACCAGGGAGTTGGGCTGGAGCGGGTGGCGGGGGCAGTGGTGGGGGGGCTCGTTTTGCTGAGATGACACCTAGGCCACAGTCACCTGGAAGTGTCACCGCTTCCAGAATCAGGAGGCCACCTGGCGGAGGTCAGCACGGGTCATCGCCCTCCATCACGTCATTTTATTTTGGCCGCACAGCTCCCCCAGACCAGGCTCCTGGCATATCCGGGCCCTGACTGGGGCAGCTCAGACCAAAAGAGAGGAAGGGAGGAGAATTTTCTGAACTGTCGCTGATTTGGGGAGGAAGGAGATGGGAGGTGGGGGGAGTAGCCAGCCGGGAGGGCGTCCTGGCTCCTGCGGCAAGCGGTCTGCCTAACAGGTCCCGCTTCCTGCCTCGTCCTTGCTGTGTGACCTTGGGCAGGTGGCCTTCCCTCTCTGGGCCTCGCAACCTCAGCTGCAGATGGATGAAGGGCCGTCTAGCAGGACCAGTGGAGCCACTGAGTCTAAGCCCTCCGCCGGTCTGTGGCCTGGGTGGGTGCAGGAGGGGGGACCCCCAAGCAGCGGGCGGGGGCGGGCGCAGGAGGAGGAGGCCAGGATGCGGGGCGGGCTCCTGCGTGAGCTCTGACCTTGATCCTCCTCTGGAAGCCCTTTCCTCGTCCCTCGAGCGGTTCTGCTGACGCCTCCCCGGGGCTCTCCACCTGCTGTCCGTAGCTATTTCAGAGGCTCAGGGAACATGGCTCGGGGCCTCGGGGCTCCTGAGCGTCTGGATCCGGCAGATGGAGTCTGGCGGGGCCGGGCTGCGACCCGTCTGCCGTTTGCTCCACTTGAGGCCTTCCTCCCAGGGCTGGGTCTCCGTACCCTCACCTCCCGACTCCCCCTCCCTGCCTCCCGAGCTGGCTCCAGGATGCCGTCCACCGCCAAGAAGGGCCAAGGCCAGGGGCCAGGGATGGCCCTACCATTGCGCTTGGGCGAGGGGCACTCCCGGGGCCCTCTGGCTCCCACGGTGTTGGGGCCCTCTCCAGTTCTGGGGTCAGGGTACCGCGGCCTGGGCTCTGGGGCCACCCCACCTGGGTTAAAAACCTGATCCGCGGTAGACTGGCCACGTGGCCTTGGACAGGTCACTTCCTCTCTGAGCTGGAAACCTAAAAGCTGTGAGCCAGGGAGGACCGTGGGGCGCACCTCACATGCAGAAGCAAGTGAGATCGTAGAAGGGCCCGGTGCCTCGCCCTCCCCGGCCTGTGCTCCGCTCGCTGCCGTGCTGCTGAGAAAGCCACACCTGCTCTGGAGTGTGGTCCGGGCCCCGGATCCCTCCTGTCCCTCCCAGGGGCCCCGTTACAACCCCCATCAGTGATCCTGAGCGGAAGCGCACGGGCACGTACTGTGTGCATGGCCCTCTGCGGGTGTTGGGGACACGGTGACCACGTCGTTTATCCCCATGAGCCACAGCTGCCTGATAAATGCTCATTGGCTGAATGAGGGCCCAAGGCTCCGGACGAGCCAGACCAGGGCAGGATCCCACGTCTCTGACGTCACCTGAGCCCCCAGGGTGCTTGCGGGCTGACTCCGGGGGCAGGTGGCAGCGGCTGAGTGTGGCAGAGGCGCCGCCTGGCCCTCCTGCAGACAGACAGCCGTCCGGCCTCTGATCCCCGTCGTGCCTGCTGCAGAGGCCAGGGCTGCCTCTGTGAGCCTCTGCTCACGACCAGCCCTGCCTCGCCGTCTACCTCAGCTCGGGGCAGCTCGGGGTGCCCAGCTGTACCGGTTCCGGGGAGCACTGGACCCGGCCTGGTTTTGGAGGCCGTTTCCTTTCCACTGAAGCGGTCACGTGGGCCAGGGCAGGGTTTTGCAGCCACTGGGCTTACTGGGGCAGATTTGCCAGGTCCCAAGCTTCTGATACGACGACAGTCACCTGCTCTCGTGGGTTGTGCCAGGCCCTGTTCTGAGCATGTCACGAGAGAGGGACGGCCGTCAGCCCGCTCTGCGGAGGAGGGAACGGCACGGGGCACGTCTGTGATTTGCCCCCCGCCCCCCTCGAGCCCCGTGGCTGTGAGCAGCGGAGAAGCCGGGTGTGATCTCGTAGACGCCAGAAGTGGTGCCACTCCCCCGGTGGGGGGGGGGGAGAGCAGCCCCGTCACTCCCCCTCCCGAGGAACCCCTCCCATCTCTGCATCCAGAAGCATCTTCCTGTGACACGGTGCAGGGAACGGGGTTGGGACGCTGAAGTTTGCACGTATGCCTCAGCTTGTTGGTAAAATGAAGCAGGTGTCTCGGCCTGATGGTCCCCCCCACCCCCCGCCACCGGACGTCAAAGGACCAGAAAAAGAGCCCTGGGTGGGGAAGGCTCCGGGCTGGGAGGGCCGAGTGTCTCGGGGGTGGGTTCCCATGGCAGGTGTTCGTGATTACATGCCCTTCGCCCGCCCAGAATGTTCAAGGAGCATCACTCGAGATGGGGCTGAGTGTGGAGTGACCTGGCAGCCGGTGGCCCGGGGACTCTGGCACCTGGAGCCCCTTCCATCCCTGCCCACTGCTCTACCCTAATTCAGGCCCCACCGTTATGCTCTCCACGATGATCCGCACGGGCTGCCTGGCCTCATTCTCTGGGGCCTCCTGCGTGACAGCCAGAGTGATCGATGAATTCATTCACCATCGATCGATGCACTCGTGGATTCATTTGCTTAGTAAATATTTATCGAGCAGCAGCAATCCGAAACACTGAGGAGGGAGTAGGGACCAGGTGGTCACAAGTCCTGCCTTGGAGGAGGTTTTATCCTAATGGGAGAGACAAACAATAAACAGATCGATAATATAACATCAGGTGCTGATACATCCTATACAGAAAGGGGTTGGGCGGGGGCGGGTGCGGAGGTGGGGAGGGGTGCTGTTTTAGACAGGGCTGGTCCTGGAAGGCCTCGCTGAGGTCAGAGCTAAGTGATGTGAGGGAGCGAGTCTCTGGGGGCAGGGAGAGAGCAGTGAGTGCAAAGGCCCTGGGGCAGGAACCATCCCATCCTGTCGGAGAAGTAGCAAGAAAGGGCCCCAGCCACGAGGCTCGCTCGATGAGTACAGACTTTAGAACTTTCTCCATGGAAGGAAACCCTGGTTATGCGCCGGGGAGGGATATTATCTGATTTACGTTTCAAGGGTTACATCCTGAGGGCTGCTGGGTGAAGGACGGGATCAGAGTAAGAAGGAGAAAAATAAAGCAGGGCAGGAGGGAAGGGTTGTGGTTTTAGGTTGGCGGGGGTTGTCAGGGTAGACTTCTTGGAGGAGGTGGTATCTGGGGAAGGTGTTGAAGGAGGTAAGAACGGAGCGGGCCGTGTGGTAGCTGAGGCGGAGCCCGTTGCAGGCACAGGGAACAGGCCACGTGGGTCAAGGCCCCGACCCGCATTGCTCTGCTGTGGCTGGAGAGGAAGTGAGCAAAGGGAATCTTCCCAGAAGACAAACTGGGGCCATGTCGCCATGGCAACCCGCCCCACAGCCTCAGGTCCCAGCAGCTCCATCCGTGCCTGAGTCGGGTGGAAGCGCTCGAAGATTCTCTGCCTCCTTCCCGCTTTCTGCGCGCCCTGCCCTCTGAAACCCCGTCCTTCCCTCCTTTGCCCAGCTCGCCCCCAAGACTCCACTGTCAGCCACGCTCCCTACTCCAGGAAGCCCTCCTTGACGGCCCCTCCCCATCCGCTTCTGTGCCTGTGTGTCCTCGCTCCGTGCACAGTCTCCTCCTTGCTTGCCTGTGTCCAACCCACCGCTTGTAGGCTCCTGAAGGCAGGGCTGGGGTCTCACCTCCTCTGGGGCCCCGGGCCCTCCTCGTCAGTCCGGCGTCGAGGCTGCTTGACACTGACGGCTGCACTTGAGACGTGAGCCAGGCGTTGGTCGCGGGGGGCTCGTTGCCATCCTGGGCTCCCCTGGGCCCCCGAGAGGGGCGCTGCCCGGCCTCCTGGGAATGACCTGGAGATTGAGGGGGCGTGAGGCTTCTTCCGGTGAGTTAGAGAAGGAAGCAAGAAATGGGCATGTTTTTGCGAAGTAAGGTTTGTTTAAACCTTCCCACCTGCCTCACAGTTGAAACCATTCACATTAAAAAAGAGACTTGACCTCTCACTTGCGTCCTGCCCTTGTCACCCCTTCCTGGGGCTGCTGCCAGGAGCACCTTTGGGCTTGGGAGCGCGTGGAGCAGGGCACCCGGGGCCCAGCTTCAGGAATCCCCAGTCCCGGTCGGAGCCACCCCACAGCATCGCCAGGGGGTTCAAGGGAGGCCTGGAGAGCCCCAAACAAAAAATTGATTTCAGAATGAGCGGCAGGAAAATTAACATTAATTTTAACGTGTCAGCTTCCCCAGGGTGGGGCGTGTGGGGACAAGCGTGAGCCGCAGGGAGGGAGGATTCTGGAGTCCCGGAGGGCGCAGTGCTTTTTCCCTCTGCATTTATATCCGCTCACGTTGCTTTCTTCTCCGTTTCTAGAACACTCTGGACCTCGAGGAAACTGGTGAGGCTGTCCAGGGCAGTACGAACACCCTCCCAGACGTTGCCCTGGTGAGACCCTCTGGCTCTTGCACTGAGTGTTGCCCTCCCTGGGCCTGCCGGAGGCCCTGGCGGCCGGCTCCTCGGGCAGAGCACAGGGGGGCACTGGGGCCCTCAGACTGGGGCCTGGGCACAGGGGCGTCCCTCCGCCTCTCCGGCAGGTCCCAGGACCGCTCTCCGCTCCCTCGGGGGACGCGAGGTGGGGACTTGGGCTGTTTGTTTGCCGAGCTGGTGTTAACTTTGGCTTCGTTATCTGCACGTTGTTCTAACGAGTGTGTGAGCTCCCCGAAGGGGCCGTCTGACCACACTGGATATGGAGGCTACCTGTGACCTCGTCCCCTCGGGCCCCTGTGCACACGTCAGCAGCATCACTTGGCAATTTCTGACCAAAATTACTTCTGAATGGCCTGGGCGCCGGGGCCCGCTGCCTGGGCTCAGATCCCACCTCTGCCACTGGCTGCATGACTTCGGGCGAGTTTCTTAACCTCTCTGTGCCTCCGTTTTCCCCTCTGTAAAATGGGGACAGTACTAGTGTACCTACCCCACGAGTTTGTGGCAAGGGGTACGTGAGTCCACTGAAGTTAAAGCATTTGGGGCAATGCTTGCACTGCCATCGGAGCTCTGCAAGTGTCGGAGGTTGGCCTAGGCAGAGGGGAGAGAGCAATGACCCATGTACCCATAGCCACCCCTCACCATGCACCTGCTGGATGGCAGGCACCTGTGAACACGTGACACGTGTGCTTCCACGTCCCCACACCTCCGCTGGGCAGGCACGCATCTCCCTGCGGCCCGGAGCAGCGCTCCGAGAGGGGCTGTGCCTTGCCCGGGACCGCGCAGCCCTCCAGCCCAGGGGACTGTCCCCGCCCATCCGTCCTCCCTCCCTCTAATCCCGGACATCTCCAATCTCTAGCAGCCGTGATAATCTTCTAAAAAGAAAAGCCAAGGAGGTGCCCCTGTTGTTGTTGTTTTTCCATTCTCCGCATCCACCTCTAATTGAGTCGTGTTCCCCGTGACAAGCCCTGGCTGATGCCAAGAGCTTCAGGTCCCAAAGGTAACGATGCCATCCCCAGAGACGCCCGCCAAGATCCCGACGCTTATCAGCTGCCGAGGTGGGGGGGGGAGAAGTTTTCCACTGGGGTGTTGCATTATTCAGAGCGGCGTGGCCGGTTGCTGACAGAGCAGGCCGGAGTTCCAGCGGGGCCCTCGCCTCGCCCCGCCGCCATGGGCTCTGACGCCTTCTACTCCTGCTGGGTCTCTTGGCAGGATGATGTCAAAGCCGGCTCCGCTCCGGCTCCGAGGGGCTGCCCGGCTGCAAGCCGCCGCCTCCCCCGCCGCCCCTGGCCCAAGGCCACGGCCGCCCGCCCACCCAGCGGAGGAAGCCAGCGCAAGAGGACGTCCAGCCCCCTTCGTCCGCGTCCTCCCACTCGGGCATCGTCTTCTCGGCCCCGAGGACCCACAGCCCACCGGCGGGCACCGCACCGGCCCCAGGCGCCCCGGCGGCCCCAGACCCACCCTCCTCCCCCATCTATGCCTCTGTGTCCCCCGCCAACCCGGGCTCCAAGAGGCCGCTGGACGCCCACCTGGCCCTGGTCAACCAGCACCCCATCGGCCCCTTCCCGCGCGTCCGGTCACCCCCGCACCTGAAGAGCCCCCCTGCAGAGGCCACGCCGGCGGGGGGCTGCCTCCCGCCGCCCTCTCCCTCGGGCCGGCCGGATACGACGGGCACGAACCAGCACTTTGTCATGGTGGAGGTGCACCGGCCCGACAGCGAGCCCGACGTGAACGAAGTGAGGGCGCTGCCGCAGACACGCGGTGAGTACTGCCCCCCCCCCCGGGCTGGGCTGCGGGGCACCTGCCGAGAGGGCCAGGGGGGGGGGCTCCCAGCAGCTCTGGGGTGGTCTGTCCGTCGGCACAAAGTGGGAGCCAGTGTGCGCCCAGCGTGCTGTAGCGCAGGTGTTCCCTGCTCCTGGCCTGGGGGGCATCAGAGAGCCCCGGGGACAGGGTCCTGAGCACCAGCGTTGCCACTGAAAAACCGGGTGACCACGGACAAGCCGTGGGATGGAGATTCGGTGACAGCCCCGCCGGGTCGCTGGGAGGCTTGGGCTCCTCTCTCCAGCACCCCCAGTCCTGGCCACCCTGCAGTCCCCGACAGTCTCTCCAGGGAAAACAGCCCCTGTGAGGGCAGGGGTGACCTCTGTGACCTCTGTCCCCGGGGCCTGGCACAAGGCAAGTGCTGGGGGAAAGGCCTGTGTTGAAATGACTGTCTCCGGACCCCTGGGAGTCTCCAGATCCGGGGGGCTGCAGGGTCAGTGTGCAGGCTCGACCTCGCAGACCCCTGGGACGAGGCTGCGGCCCCAGAGTTTGCAGAGGGCGTCCAGCTGAGGAGGTGGACCGCAGTGTAAAGCTGGCTTTCGGCTCCCAGGAAGCCTGGAACCTTGGTGGGCTCTAGATCTCCTCCCTCCCCTTAGCAAGCTGGGTGCAGTTTGCTGGAACCTGCTGCCATCTTGTGGCTCGAGGGCTACGGAGGGCCCGCGGTGGCCAGGGAAGGCGGCAGGGCAGGTCAGGGGGCTGCGGACTGAGCGCCTGCTGTGTGCCAGACAGTGGGCAGGCTGGGGTGCTGAGTGCAGGGTCCCTGGGCTCGGGAGCTCGGTGAGGGAGGGCAGGTAGGGGGACAGCAGGCAGGATGTGGTGAGGGAGACCCGAGGCGCCACCTGCCATCGAGCTGTCTGTTGTGCAGGGCTTCCTGTGTGCCGTTTCGTTCTAGGGGCCCCTGCCTGTATTAGCAGCAGCCCTGCAGGGCCGGACCCTTATCCCCATTTTACAGAGGAAAAAGCTGAGACACAGAACGTAGCAACCTCGGAGCAGAGTGTCTAGCGCCAAGTCTGCTGTCCTGCGGGCTTCACTGTACACGTCGTATGTAATTAGTCTGGGTGTAATGCTGCTAGACGGGCGGCGGCGTGGAACAGCGCCAGGGAGGCTCAGAGAAGTCATGTAACTCACCCGGGGTCGCTCGGGCTGGTCAGAGGGGAGTCAGGCCTGACCTGCTGGACTCTAGAGTGTCTCAGACTCGGGGTCAAGCCATCACGCACACGGCAAAGCAGCTCGGGTATGTGCCCACTGCTCAGCTCAGGCCACTTGGGTCATGGAGGGTACAGACCAGGTGTGGCAAAGCTTCCGTTGTCTTATTGAGACGCCAGAGATTTAATTTTTGTGCAAAATATTCAAACATCCATGTGCTCATCCATCATTACGATTTGACAGCATTGTGCAAGTTTAAAAATAATAACGATAATAATAATAATAATAATAATAACGACCCACATCTGTGGACTGGATTGGCCTCCTGACCTCCGTGTTCATCATTACGCCACGGGCTGAGGACTGAGGGGGTCAGAGCAGAAGTCCTGGCGGCCGTGGGGCCAGGCCCAGCTGGAAGGACAGGTGTAGTGGTGGAGAGTCTCCCCGGATTCCTCCCTAGTCCATGCCTGGGGAATCCCCACAGCATCCCAGCTCTATCACCTCCTCCAGGAAGCCCTCCTCCACCCCACCTGTATAAACCACCACTCTCCTCCCGTTTCCCACCCCCAGCAGCCTCCACACTGTCCCAGCTCTCGGACAGTGGGCAGACCCTGAGCGAGGACAGCGGTGTGGACGCCGGTGAGGCAGAGGCCAGCGCCCCAGGCCGAGGCAGACAGATCGCATCCACCAAGAGCAGGAGTAGCAAGGAGCCACCTCGGAATGAGAGGACCGCAGAGGGGGCCACCAAACCGGTGAGCGAGGAGGAGGGGATACAGAGGACCGAGGGGAAAGCAAGGCCCCTAGGGGAGGAGGGGAACAGGAGGTCCCCGACCAGGGTTCAGCTTGACCACCACGGGGAAGAAGTGAGCCCCCATCACCGGAGGGATGTGGGTACCGGAGCGAACACTATCAGGAGTCTGGGGGCCCAGTTTAGGTCTTGAGGGCCTTTCAGCTCTGCTCTGAGCGGGTGTCCTGGCTAAGGGAGTCAGGCCTGGGTCCGAGTCCTAGCGCCACCCCCAGGCAGCCTGGGGCCGGCCCTTAACCTCCTGAGCCTCGGGGTTTGTAGCAATCAGAGAGCTGCTAACACCAGTTCCTAGCCTAGCGCTAGCTTACTGGCGGCTCCCAGCACTGGGCTGGGGTCTGGGCCCTTGTGACCCCCGGGGGTGGGGTGCATGTCATGGCCAGGCCAGCCCCCCCACCCCGCCAGGCCTGAACACTGACCAGGCCTCAGGCACTGGTCTCCTTGCTCACACCTGCAGCCTGGCCTCCTGGAGCCCACATCCACCGTGGTCCGCGTGAAGAAAAGTGCAGCCACCCTGGGCATTGCCATCGAGGGTGGCGCCAACACCCGCCAGCCCCTGCCTCGGATCGTCACGATTCAGGTACCCCTCCACGGGCCCCGCTTGACAGGTCTGTCCCTACCCCCCGAGGGCTGTTCCCTCGCCATCTCCGGGGTGACCCAGCACCCACGGGCAGAGCCAGGCCCTTTGCCCCTCACTGAGCCATTTTCCTAATCAGGGCAGTGGACACCCAGATTGCAGGCTGCTTGGCGGTGCCGGGCCTGACCCGGTGGGTGTCTGAGGCCGCCCACCTCACCCCCAGCTGCCTCACGCACCCCGGCCCTGTGTCTCGCCCCTGCAGCGAGGCGGTTCGGCCCACAACTGTGGGCAGCTCAAGGTGGGCCACGTGATCCTGGAAGTGAACGGGCTGACGCTCCGGGGCAAGGAGCATCGGGAGGCGGCCCGCATCATTGCGGAGGCCTTCAAGACCAAGGAGCGAGACTACATCGACTTTCTGGTCACGGAGTTCAACGTGATGCTCTAGAGGCTGAGGCCCGGAGGCCCCCCACTGCTGCCCAGTCCCTGGCCCCGGTCCCTCCTCCCTCCCAGCACTATAAGCTTCTGGAGGGCTGGGGCTGCGTAGCCAGGGTAGCAGGAAGACATCCCCCCACTCTATCCTGGCGCACCGGCCCAGAACCAGGATAAGAAAGCCGGGTGAGGCACACAGAAGGTCAGGCTGGGGTCCGGTGCCATGCCCGGGGTACACAGTAGGCGCTCAGTACAAGCGTGGGTGTCGGGAAGGAGAGAAGGTCCACCTGAGGCCTGCCAGGGCCCGTTACCTGGGTTGGGGAGGGGGCACTGTGTCCCCCTCCCCCGCCAGCTAGGACCTGGCCCATCCTCAGGTTGTCTGAGCCTTTATCTGGAGTGAGGTCACATGAGAATTCGAGGACACGGCCCCCAGCCAGGGGGGCATCTTGCAGGACCTTTAGTGCCACAAATAAGCATCAAGCAACCCCCCCTCCATTCTCACCCCCTCTCCTCTTGGCTCCTTATCCCCCTATAGTATTTATTATTTATTTCCCTCTCCTCACCCCTGGGGACTCCAAGACCCCAGGTTCCCAGCCCCGCCCCCAGCCTATCCCAGAGGCCTTGCAGGTGACCAGCGATGTCAGCGTATTTATATACAGAGCTTATGACTTTAATTTTTCAATAAAGAAATCTGAACAAGGTTGAGGCCCAGCGTGCTGTGTGGCCTGCCTTTGGGGCTGGGGTTTCTGATTGCTCAACCAAAGAGGGATGGGTCGGTCAGATGCTAGGCGCTCAGAGCAACACCTAGCAGCAGCAGCGGCCTTTCCCCCTGCCCCCCAGGGCTCAACGCGGGATGCACAGTGGGGGTGCAGGGGCACCCGAGCCACGCCCACATCCTGCGGCACCCTTCTTGGTTATTCACAGAAAATACCTTTAAGTGAAAGCACACAGGAGGGGCCCCTGGGTGGCTCAGTGGCTGAGCACCTGCCTTTGGCTCAGGGTGTGATGCCCGGGGTCCTGGGATCGAGTCCCACATTGGGCTCCCCGCAGGGAGCCTGCTTCTGCCTCTGCCTGTGTCTTTGCCTCTCTCTGTGTCTCTCATGAATAAATAAATAAAATCTCTTAAAAATAAATAAAGCACACAAGTATGTTATGGGGGGGAATGCTCAATGTGCACGGATGTTTTAAGGCACAGGGAGGTGGCCTGCCTCAGGGTGGAACCCAGACGCTGACTCTGGTGAGGATTTGTGTGCAGGTGATTCATTGAGGCCACGCCCCCTCCCTCCTGCCCCCCCCCCCCCCCCCCCCCCCCCGGGCCTGGTAAGGGAGTGGAGAAATCTGGAGGGAGAAAAAGGAGGAAGCCAAGAAGGGTGGGATTGGTGGCTGCAGTCTGGTTCCGCAGGGGTCTCTGGAGTACAGGTTGGGCCAGAGTTGTCCCCATCAGGGTGGCAAGGGGGCGGGGCTTTCATGGTGTCAGTCTTTGGATAGATAAGGTCTGGGGAGGGGAAGGTGGGGGAGAGGCATACATTAGGCGGCAGGGTCACATTCCCATTCTTCCCATTCTTGACCAGTGCAGTTCAGGCGCCAAGGGGCAGGGGTGTTAGAAGCAGAAACACAAGGGCAGGGAAGGGAGGGGGCGGGAGACGATGGGTTACAGGGCCCCAGTGCCTATTCCCTTCAACCTTGGGGTTTCTCTGAGACAGAGGACTTGGAGAGGGCCTGCTTTGTCCAGCCCTGTGTTCAGAGGTCAGCCAGAGGTGGGTCAGGGGCAGTTTGGTTCCATACACCAGCAGCAGATCTTGCTCTTAGCTGCTTCCGCTTCCCAGCCAAGGAGACCGCCCGAGGCCGGAGCCCTGGATTCCACGTGACCTCTGAAGCAGCCAGCATCCCAGAAGCCCCAGTCCCTCCTGGGGGACTCATTATGCTCCTCCCCAGTCCTAATACCTGTGCAGGGAGTAACTTCCACCTGGAGGCAGATCCCAGATCTGCTGGCATCAGATGCCAAATCCTGCATGACCATGGGTCAGTGATCTCACCTTTCTAGGCCCAAATTCCCCCATCTGGAAAAGGGGTGTGGAGGGAGGGACCACCAGCCCAGGAATACAGGCAGCCAGTAGGTGCTGAAAGAGTCAGGGAAAGAGGTTCTGCTCTCAGAGCCCACAGCAGGAGCCTCCCCCGCTGACACCTTGAGGATGGCCCCGTGAGACAGACTTTGGACTTCTGACCTCTCTTTGTAAGAGAACAAATTAGGGCTGTTTGAAGCCATGACGTGGTGATAATCTGTTACAACAACCCCAGGAAACCAGTGCAGCGGGGATACTGCTACGTGCCTCTGATGGAGGCCGGGTGCTGTGCTGGGGCCCCTGGCTCAGGCAGGCTCGGACTCAGCCCTGGATGACATCTGGACATCATCACTGTCCGGATGATGGCAGTGGTGAACCAAGGGCCCTCTGGCCTTAGAAACGCCACTCCCTTTGCATGAAAGTCCTCATGCACCTTGCTCTGAACCAAGAGATTTTCATCTATCACCAGCCCAGGGTGATTTTCAGGCCAGCCGCTGACCTGCTCTGTGAGCTCTGGGCAGGTCATGACCTGGTGACGTCCCATGCTTTGAACCAGCCATCTCTCCACTTGGTTGGTCCAATGCTGGGAGACAAGGAAGCTCCCAGCAGCTGCTGCCCACTGCCCCAAGTTTGAACTCTGGAAAAGTAGGACAAGAATGAGTTTCTGGAACTGTCATTTCTAGAATTCTTGGGCCTGACTCCGGGGCTGTGGCCCATTGGGTGTTAGGGTCCCCCACCCAGGGAAATTTTAAACCATTTTTTTTTAAAGTTCATTTGCCAGTGGGCTTAGAAAGGTCAAGGTTCTTGCCCAAAGTTGCATAAGCTAGTGGATGGTAGAGGCCAAATTTGGACCCAAGGCTGCCTGAAGTCCACATTACAAAGTCAAACACAAGCATGTATCCTGCTGTCTTCTGAAGGGACCCAAGACCCTGCGTTAAGGCAACTTTGAATAATGGAGGATGGAGGGGTCAGAGGTCCACCCTGGTCGGATGTACCCAGGGGCCCTCACATCTTTGTTCATGATGCCAGAATTTGGGCAGGGGGTGGTGTGGGGCCGGTGCTGCTGGAGAATCCCTGGGTCTGCTGCTGGATGAAGAAGCCAGGAAGGGGGTGAGGTTTTGGCCTGAGCCAGGGACTGCGCAAGCTAGTGCTGAGGTGGCCTTCAACTTACCTGGAGCTCCCTCTGCTTGGGAGAAAGTAGGGTGCGGGAGAGAATAGCCTGATGGGAGGAGTACAAGGATAGAGAACAAGACACCGCTCAAGGGGTCCACACTTCAGAGTCTGACATCTGGAATCGAATTCCACTTCTACTATTTCCTGGCTGTGTGAGCTGGGACAAGTTAACCTCTCTGAGCCTCAGTTTCACCATATTTATTTATTTATTTATTTATTTATTTATTTATTTATTTTTATTTTTATTTTCTTCTTTTTTTTTTCACCATCTTTAAATGGAGAGCATCGCCTTCATCTGGCTTGTGGGTTATTATAAGGATTCGCTAAAATGTTTGCCGCTGGCACAGAGTACGCTTTGAACAGAAGCAGCTGCTGTGATTATTACTGGGAGCAGGTAGGGAGCCTCAAATCCCTAGGGAACCGGGGAGAGCTTTTTAGAGAATTAGCTGCAACATAGCTGGATGCAGTGGCTGGATGCATTCCCCCCCACCCCCACAGCAAAAGTCTCCGTCTTGGGCCCCATCAGCCCCCTTGTGAAATAGGGTTGGTGGAGGAGCTCTCTAAGCGAGTGCCACTGGTTTCTTTCCTCTGGACTCAGCGCTTTGTTCATCCCCTGGTGAGGCTGACCTTAGGGATTCCATTTACCTGGAGTTCAGTGGCAGAACTGGGGCAGGAGCCGAGGTCACTGTGACACTTTACACCCCTTCCAGGCCAGCTCTCTGTGGACAGCGGATTATTTCCGTCCTGGGCACGTTCTTGTCCGTCTGGAGACCTGGGTTTTCCTGTTTGCTCATGGTGGTTTGGAGGAGAACCTACCTGGAAGGTGATGCCCAGGGCCACCCATCTCAGGGGAGAGGAGGGAGCATGGGAGGAGCTTACAACACTTCTTGACACAGACAGAAGAGCTCAAGAAAAGTTTATTATTAAGATTCTCATTATGGGACGCCTGGGTGGCTCTGCAGTTGAGTGCCTGCCTTCGGCTCAGGTCATGATCCTGGGGGTGCAGGGATGGAGTCCCGCATTGGGGAGCCTCTTCTCCCTCTGCCTGTGTCTCTCTGCCTCTCTCTCTCTCTCTCTTGAATGAATCAATAAAATTAAAAAAAAGACGGGGGGGGGGCAGCCCGGGTGGCTCAGCGGTTTAGCGCTGCCTTCAGCCCAGGGCGTGACCCTGGAGACCCAGGATCGAGTCCCACATCAGGCTCCCTGCCTGTGTCCCTGCCTCTCTCTCTGTCTCTCATGCATAAGTAAATAAAATCTTAAAAAGAAAAAAAAAAACAACTTGGGGCGCCTGGGTGATGCTCCAGTGATGGAGCATCTGCCTTTGGCTCAGGACGTGATCCCAGGTTTCTGGGATCAAGTCCCACATCAGGCTCCCCGCAGGGAGCCTGCTTGTCCCTCTGCCTGTGTCTCTGCCTCTCTCTCCGTGTCTCTCATGAATAAATACATAAAATCTTAAATAAAAATAAAAATAAAAAATAAATTAAAAAAAAAAGATTCTTGTTACTGCTCTGAAGCAGTCCGTGGGGGCTGCGAAAGCTGCGGTTGCTGCGACCGTGCACACGCGCTCCCGGAGCCCCGCGAATTCCCAGCTGGGAGCGCTGGGGCGCGGGGGGCGGAGCCCCAGCGCCGAGGGGGCGGAGCCCCAGCGCCGAGGGGGCGGAGCCCCAGCGCCGAGGGGGCGGGCCGCAGGAGGCCGCCTCGCCGCGATTGGCGGAGCCTCCCGAGGCCCCGCCTCCCGGGCCCGCCCCGCCCGTCGCAGGCCGCCCCGGGGATTGAGCCCAGTGGCCGCCCCGCCCCGCGCGGGGATTGGCGGCCTTTGTTTGCCGCTCAAGTCCAGGAAACCCGCGGCGGCAGGTGAGGCGCGCGGGGGGGCTGCGGCGGGGCCGGGGCGGGCGGCGGCCCCTCGCCGGCCCTCAGTTTCCGGGTCGGGGGAATGGGGAGGGCGGCGATCCCGGGGGCCGCGCCGCTTTCGGCCGCTCCCACGTGGGAAGCCCCGGCGCCCGGGAGCAGTCGGGGCGCGGCTCCCGGAGTGGGCGGGGGCGCCGGGCGGGCGCGGGGGTCCGGTCCTCCCCCCGCCGGCTGCGTCCCGCGCGGGCTCCGCTGGGCCTCAGTCTCCACCTCCGCACAATGGGGGCGTTGGCTTTCTGTCTCTCCAGCTGCGGCTGGGAGGGGAGGGGTCCCCGGGGAGCCCGGGGCTGGTCCTCGGCGGGGCCTCGGGCTGTGTTTGGGTTGCGGGTGTGGCCCGGGTAGCTGTGGTTACCCGGGAGGTGGGACTAACCAGTCCGGGATTTGTGCGAGGTCGGTTCACCCGGCAACTGCCCGCGTAGCCTGACGACTCGGAGCCGCGCACCCTCCGCGGACGCCTAACGCGAGTTTCTTTTCCTCTTTTTTGGCGGAGGGGGCGGGGGGAAGGGGGGCGGGGGGGGCAAGGGCCCGCACGGGGGTGGGCAGCGCTGACGCGGCTGCGAGCTGGATCGGACTGAGAAATGGGGCCAGGCTGTCCGGGTGCACAGATGGGGAGACTGAGGCCCGGAGAAGGGGCGCGCGTGGCCCGAGGCGCTCAGCGGGGTGACGCGGCTGCGCGGGGAGGCCCTTCCCTGCCCCTTGCCGCGGCTTTGTGGGAAGACCCTGCGGGCTGGAGGGGATCCT